ATTTTTAAATAGGTAATATCCAACTTTTTTTATAAAAATATTTTTTTCTAACAAATTGTCGTCATTGCTTTTATTGTTTCCATTTTTCAAAAAAAATTTTTTAACTAAATTTAGAAGTTGAGGGAGTATTTCCTCTTTTTGCATGTGAAAAAAAAATAATAAAAAATTCTAAAAAAGAATTTTTAAAAATTTAAAAATAGACATAAATTATTTAATTTTAATAATCTATAGGAAATATTTAAAAAATCTTTTGATTTGCACAAATTTTTTTATTTATTTTTGGTAATAAAAGAATAGAACAGATGTTGACTGACAATATTTTATTAATTTAAGATTATATGTAGATCTAGCGTGATATTTAAGAGGATAGATTCACGAATTCTTGAGTAAAGTATGTAGAGATCTCAGTCAGCTAATGGAAAAGAAATTGGGCGCTGGGAGTTAACGGACTGATGGGTTAGCTTTAGAAATCTGCGATACACATGTATCCTTAAAGATAATTAATTAAATACCTAAATGAAAAATAATTTTCTTAAAAGACTTCCTAGTTTAAAACATTTTTTCAATCTTTAGTATTGGAAAATAAAATTTCTGTAAACATTTAAAATGATTTAAAAATAAATGTAAACATATAAATTTTTCAAAGTTAATTAAATAAATTTTAGAATTTAATTAATTTTCTAACCAAAAATTTTATGTATATTACTCATAATTTAATTTAAATTTAACATCATTTAAATAATAACGCAAACTCCTATTTTATACAGAATTAAAAAACAAAAAATGTTTTATTTTAATAGAAATTTTTCCAAAAAAATTTTTTTTTGTATTTTTAACATTAAAATATTTATTTTAATTAATTAGTCAAAAATAAAAAAAGATTAAAAAACAATTAAAAAATATTTAATTATTTTTTTAGATTAATTATTGCTATTTTTATATAAATATCATCATTCTACACACTCAATTAATTAAAAATAAGGCTACAAAAATAAAATAAAAATAAATTCTAATAAAAATAATTCTATGTATTTTTTGCAAATTTTTTAATAAAAAATTTAAACAAAAAATTTTTTTTAATATTTACTGTAGATCAGTGACTAATAAATAAAGAGAAATAAATGAACAAGAATTAAACGTATTGGAACAAAAAGATAAAATAATTAATTAATTTTCTGTAAAATGTTTAAAACTAATAAAATTTTGTGACTTGTTATATGTAGTTAAAATATTTAAAACTTAATTTTTATTATTTTGAATTTTCTCCTAAATTCTAAAAAAATTAAAAATTTTTTTAGATATTATAAATTACATATCATAAAAATCATTTTATTATTTTTTTATTTATTTAAAAAAATGCGGAATTATTAAAAATAATGTCAAGCTGTGCTTGTTAAATATTTATTTGCAAAAAATTTTAAGTTTATTTTAGCTTTTTATAATAAACTACTTTATTTATTTTTCTAGAATTATTTTTAAAATTTTAATGCTTAAAAATATATAATTTAATATTTCACTCATAGTTTTTCTTTCTTTTTTTAGTTTACAGTCAGCTCTCAATTGACGTCTAGCCAAATTTACATAGACTCCCTATTATACGCACAATATTTAATTTACCATTAGGAGGTCTCCAATTTTTAAACCCCACTTCTTCGCACACATTCTACCTTCTCATCCCGATTCTTACGTACAATCGAGATTTTACTAAATTGTTTATATTTAAGTAGGGTCCGGTCCGGTTATTGCTGGTCCGGTCCGAAAGATCAAGTCGGGCCTTGAATTTTGGCCCGAAAAAGACTCGGTCTGGTCTCCCCGATAAAAATGAGGCCCGAAAAAATGAACGAACGTCGGCCCGACTCGGAAACGGCAACCCTAATTTTAAAAAAAAGCTCTTCGAGCCTATTGAATGAGAACAAAGATAATTTTTTTAGGTAGAATGCTTCGATAATAAAACAAATATTAAATGTGTTAAATAATTTTAGAAAAAATTGCTTTTTAGAAAAAATAAAGAAAAATTTTTATTTTGCAGAATTTTTTTTTCAAAAAAATTTTTTACAAAAAAATGATTGTTAGTTTATCATGTCTGTTATTTGCAACATTATTATTATTAAAGTTATTTCCAAATATAACTACACAAATAAATAAAAATAAAACAAATTATCCAAACGAATGTTTCTTTTGTCGACATTCTAACAGGTTTGGAAATAAAAGAAATCATTTTAGGAATTTTTTATTTTGCAAAATTTAAAGAAAAAATTGTTTTTTCTGCAAAATTTTTTAAAATTATTTTTTTTATTTTTGCTCAAAAAATATTTTTAAATAAATTAAATAATATTAAATGTGTATAGACATGAATTATTTAAAATTAATAATTAAAAAGGAAAATAAAATTGAAAAAAAAAATAAAATTTAAGAAGGAAATAAAACGAATAATTTTAATATTGAGAATGAACTACACCAACTATTTTTTCTAAAATTAAATCAAAAATAAGTTAATTTAATTAATTTAATGAATTTTTTAAAATTAAAATAAATATTAATAAAATAAATAGAAATTAAGTTAACAAATAATTTAATTATTTAACGGATGTTTAAAAAAGATTAGAAAAGTAAAATTAAATTGAAATTATATTAGTGTAAATTAATTTAAATATTTGATCTTAAAAATAAAAAAAAAAGATTTTAATTAAAGGGGAAATGTTAGCCAAACTATTATACCTATGTAAGAAGCGAATAAGAAATTTTTAACGAATTTTAGTAGGGATACCATCCTTTTTTAAAAAAAAGTTTTCTCTTACAAAATTATTTTAGTACCTTCATAACTAGGGTGTACATTTATATGGATATAAAATCGAAAAATATGGACATAAAATATGGATATAAAATCCTGAAATATGGATATAAATATGGAAATAAGCGCTAAATATGGATATAAAATCCCGAAATATGGATCAAAAAATTGTAAAAAGATATTTTAAAAATCAGTATTTTATGTAGAAAACAATAACTTTGCCTTTAAATTTGTATTTTAAGAGTATTCTAAGAGATTTTATGAATTTAAAATTTATGTTAAAATTTTTTTTCCGACAAATTTTCGAAAAAATTTTTTGACCAAAAATTTCCAAAATTTTGAAAATTTTCATCAATTTTTACTAAAATTTAACAAAAAATGACCTAATATTAATCAAAATATTCAAAAAAAGAGAAATATTGATATAAAATATGGATATAAAGGCTAAATATGGACAAATATGGAAAATATGGACATAGTGCCAAAATATGGAAAAATATGGAAAATATGGATTTTAAAGACCATTCTAGAAACCCTAAAACAAGCCAAAAACATGTTTTTCGTACGTTTCACAGTCATAGGAATTCAGGAAAAAAATATGGATTTCCATATAAATGTACACCTTATTCATAACTAAAATTTAAATAATTCTAATTACAACAAAATTAATATGTTAATTTATTTATTTAGGGAACGGGACATTCTCAGTCGATTGGATCAACATCCTGAGTATGTTTTAATTTAGAAAATAATTATTAGTGTGTATAAAATACAATCTATTATGCTCATAATTTTAAGAAATTTTAAAAAACGTTTTTAAATTAATTAAATTAATTTTAGATGTTTAAGCTATCAACTTTTTGTTAACAAAAGCCAGTTTAGAAGAATATGTACCCCAGCAGAACATTTTTGTTCGGTGGGTTAATTTTTTAATTTTTAAAAATATAGGTAAATTTAAATAAAGCTCTTTAAATTAGAAAAATGTTCCTAAATATATTTTGAACTTTTAGAAGAGTCTAAAGGAGAGAATAACGAATTTAGATTTATTTTTTCGTTTTTGGCAAAATTTTACTTTTTCCTACAAATAAAGTTGAAGTAATAAATGTGAGGGAAATAGGGCAAAAATGTCCAAAACTTATTGGAAAAAAAGAATGATTAACTTTAGGAACTACATACATACATATTTAATTTCCTAAATTCTCTAAAATTATTTACTAATTAAAAAGAGAAATTTATAAAAACAATTTTTTTTATTAAATCTAAAAAGCAAAAATATTTTTAAGAAAATGATTACATAAATATTCTTTGCTTTATTAATATTTTCCAAATTCCGTTTCCGTTCCCATTTGTTAAAAATATTTCCGCCTTTTTAAAGGACAATTTCTTCTAATAATTTTTAATAAAATGGATTATTTAAATATTTATTTACGTAAATTAATGTTATCATTCTTAATTGAAAAAATATTCTAAAGTGATTTATATTACATTAATACTTTTCCGTAGGAAGTATATTTTTCAATAAAATGACAATTTTTTGTTTTATTAGTTCTTTGAATTTTTTACAGAAATTCTGAAACAATGATAATACCGTATTTGCTCTATTAATCCCCCAGTCTTTATTAATCCCCCAGGCTCTATTAATCCCCCACCCTGGAGATGGGTTGAAACAATAATCCCCCTGGGGGATTACTAGAGCAAATACGGTATTTAATACTTTTGAGTATTATACCTAAAAAAGATTTCCAAATCTTTTATAGGTATAAACATGTCATTCTAAACTTCGAAGAATGTGAATTTAAAAGGAAAAATATTTTTGCATATCTCGGATTCTGGTCAAGCAAAAAAATTTAGCAAATATCGTAAAGCTGATATTCTATTTTTCAATTCATTTTTTCTGAACTTGTAAATCTTATGAAACATGGAGTGAAGTAAAGAAATTAGGTAGATATTAATTTTAGATCATCACACAGATTTATACATATTAACTATATATAAGTAAATAGTGTTTATTAAAAATAAGATTTTATTTAAATAATAAAAAAATGATCAAGAAAATAGAATTAAATAAATTTTGGTTTAAAAATATAATGAGATAAACTGCGTAGGGATAACCATTAGGTAAACAACTTCCCAAGAAGATAGACATAAATATTATAAAATATGGTAAATATTAAAAAATAATCCAAATATTTTAATATATATATTTTTAATCTTTTCTTTTTTAAATTTTTGTTTTTCACTATTGTTCTGTCCCCGGTTGTCTAATTGTCTGGCCAGACGGTTGCGTAATAGGAAATAGAGGAAACATATATGGGGCGATACTTTTACAAGCCTGTACACGTGGGTATTTTGTGTTGGGTCGACGGCCCCGTGGCACTCTGTAAAATTAAAAAAAATTTTTTGTAAATAATAATCCTTTATTTGGACAAATAATTACGTAAATCAGTCTGAGAGCGACTAATTTACAAAAGATATTTTTGACTTTTGGGGGAAGGTAATATAAAAAAGTCTCCTTGAAAATATAGTAAAAGGTCTAATCTGATAAAAATTTATATTTTAAATAATTCCTTGCATAGAAGCAGCCAACAATGATTCAACAGAAAACGTTGAGCTTTTAGCAGCTTGTTTAGTGAAAGAATTTGTAGAAGATTCCCCTACTTCATTATTATTTTGATTTTCTTCGTCTTTCCCTTCATTTTCTTCAAAATTTTCTAATTTATCTTCTCCAATATTATCAGAAGTATTTTCTTTAAATTCATCTTTTCTAGGAGAGCCAAATTGGCTGCTGCTTGAACAATTATTATTCTCCTTTTTACGCCATTTTGCCCTTAACAAGAAAATTTTATATTCAAAAATTAAATATTTTAATATTATTTTAAATTCATTATTGCTTTACTTGAGAATAAAATAAAATTAAAAATAGAATTACAACTTGCCTTCTGTTTTGGAACCAAACCTAAAAATATAAATACATATATTGAGTTGAATTAAAAATTTTTTCTAATTTAGTATTTTTAAAGTCTTATTAATTTTCTTAAATCGAATTCTCGTTTTAAATTTATCCTAAATTTAGAAAAAATCAGGATTTTAACTAAAATTTAATTATGAGATTTTAATTTATTAAATTTCGTTTTATTTGTTCTGGATAAGACCGAAAATCTTCCAAGACTCAAGACTAAGACCCAAGACCATGACCGAACTTGGAAGGCTTTAGTATTTATTGTCTATTTACAAGCACTATAAAATAAAATAAAAATCCTTCTAAATTATTCTATTTAAATTATTCTCGTCTTCATTATATCCAAAAATAAATTTATTTATTGTCCCCTTTTCGGTCCTTTTATTATTTCTAAATTAATTCTTTTTCTATTATTTTGAGACTTTTTAAAGGCTCATTTCATTTATTTAATTCTTAAATTTCTTCCAAATTCTCTTATCTTTTCATCTTTTAGCTATTTAACATTTTCACCCTCAAAAAGCCATTAAAAGGCAAAATTTAAGGGGGGAAGGTTTTTTGTGGTGGTTATAATATAATATATTATTTAATTCCCCCCTTCCCTTCCCTTTTTATTTTTATTGGCGCGATGCCCTCCTCATCCAAGGAATCTATTAATATATTTTTTTGGAAGGAGGGATGGGGGAGGGAGGAAGCGTCAAAATGAATTTGCAATGAATTTGTGCCCATCATCATTCATTCCCCCCAATTGCCAAGGGAAAAATGGTGGGAAATTTTTTTGGTATTTTTTAAAGATTTAATCGATTATGATTAATTAAATTATAAATTTAACTTTTTAATTAAATTTTTAAAAATCTGACCTGAACTCTCGATTCGAGCAAATCCAAACGAAGGGCTAGAGCCTCACGCATAAATACCTGAAAATAAAATAAATCTTTAATGGAATGTGTAGTTAGGCTAGAAAACATAATTATACTCTTGAAGATTTAATTACTTCCTCGATTTTTAAATAGTGAAATCCCACATAGTTTATTTTCAAAACAATCCTATCTAAAAACGTGATTCTATTTAATTTTTCTATGTATTATAAAGACAACCCCTAATTTTACTCTTTACAATTTCAAAGTTAAAATCCCTCTCACATCAGGATAATGTCCAGATTCAAAAGCATTTTCTAACTCATTTAATTGCCAATTCGAAAAGTTTGTTCTAGTCCTTCTTCGCTTTGTTCCACAAAAATTGGGATCAATTCCGGCTGTTCTCTTTTCTTAGAAAATTTTATTTAAACTTTTAATTTTATTTCCAAAACAACTCGAATTTAAATTAATTTGTTGATTTTCTTCAATTATAGGGGCTTCTGAAATTTCGGGGTTGTTTAGATCATTTTGGAGGGAAAGTTGGTTTGCTTGGAATAATTGAAGAAATTGTAATTGAGGCGAACAAAAAAATGAAGTAGATGCTGATGGTTGTTCTTGTTGTTGGTTTTGAAACTAGAAAAGAAAATTAAAAAAATTTTGGTGGAAAAATTAAAGAGTAAATAATTGTAATTATGTCGAGAATGAACTATTTAATTTCTATAAAAAGACATACTTGTTCAGATAAACAAGAAAAGTCAAGTTTAGGAGAATTTGAACTCGAATTATTGAAAATTTGTAAATCTTGTTTGGGTGAATTGCTAGGGCTTTTTTTGTCGTTATCTTTGTTGGTTTCTTCAATTTTTGTAGGGGAAGAGGTTGTTGCACAATTTTCTGTTTCATTTACTGTAGGAATGTTTAGTGAGGACAATAAATTAGTTTCTTCCTCTTCCTCATTATTTTGAATAAAAGAAGGAAGAGAAATATTGTTATCAGAATCTAAAATTAATTTTTAAAAATTGAATAAAAATATTATTAACTATTTAATGCTGAAAGCATAGCCAAAAATACGGGATTAATCATTGAATTTGTTAAATTTTCCATTGAAGGCATTGCTAAATTGAAAACATTATTTGCAGCCATTTGTAATATTGTGGCAGCTATTGAAGTATTTTGTTGTTCTTCTTCTGTTTGGTCCTTGGTTAATTGTTCTGATGGTTGGATTGAATCTGATTGAATATCCATATCTTTTTGTTAAAGATTTCTATTAAAAATTTAAAAAATTGTTGATAGCAGATAGAAGGATGGAATTTTATTTGCTTCCGTCTTCAGCTTTTTCAAAATTAAAAATTATCCATCCCTGGTAGATAGATTTTAATGTTAGGAGTGAAGTGGGGGGAATTATTAGCTAATTAATAGAATGGGTAATTTGGTTAAAATTGAGAAGCTCGAATTTAACTGGGAGATTTTTTATTTAAATTTTTATTAAAAACAGAATAAAAATAGATAAATGAAAACAGTTTATCTACCAAATTGGTCTATATGACTATTAAATTAAATTAGAAAATTAAATTTAGTTTTAAGTAAATATGTAATAAATGAAACTGTTTCTTAAATAAAAAAATATAAGAATAACTTTCTTAATATTTATATACCTATTTTTGCTTAATAATAAACAACTCGATTGTTTACAAAATTAATCCTTAAAAAACAAATGGGCAAAATATTCATGGAAATTAATAATACATAAATATTTAAAAGTGGCCTTTGATTACTTAAAAATAAATGTCGACACAATTCCTTGCTTCCCAAAATTTGTAGTAAAAGGATTAATATTTAAGGTTGTTTAAACTAACAATGACCGAGGAGTAATTCGCCTAAAATTTTTAGATTTTTGGGGAAAAGCAATATATAAATCATTTAATCTTTTCTAAATATTACTTAATTTTAATAAAGATTTTAAGATTTCTTGAGGTTAGAAATCTGATTTAAAATTGAAGGGCTAAGTAGGGGGAATCGAGGTAGAATCGAAACTTATTGATATGTCTATTCTTTAAAACATTTTATTGAGGTGTATATAATTTTATTTAAATGCTGGTCAGATTTTTTGAAAGATTTCAAATTTATTTTTTAATTTTTAAATATGTAGAATTTTAAAATACTATTTTACGACTTAAAATTTTTTTCTAAAGAATTAAATTTTTAAAATATTTAAAAATTATCCTCTATTGTTTTTATTCAAATATATAGTAATCCAATAGGAAAGATAAACTAAGAAAAATGAGAAACGCCTTCTCCCCTATTATTTCTTTTTTTATATATTTAAATGGATATGTAAAAAGTCCTAAATGAGGGAAAATTGGGGAATAATAAAAGGGTAAAATTTGGCAGATTATTGGTTAAAACATTTAACGGATCGGTCTCTAAGGGATTGAGTTGAAATAAGTAGGTAGGTATAAGAAAGAGATAGGGACGGAATATATAAATAAAGTTTTTAATTTTTTTTTGAATTTTTATAATCTTTTGAAGACAAAATTATTCCAAACACTAAAATTTTGGAAACAGATTTATATTTCGGGTAACAATCATCGTTAATTTTTTAAAATTTTATTCAATTAAGTTATAAATTTCTTTGGATTTGATATAATTCAATTCGTTTCGATGAGCTTTTTCGGAAAGTTATTATTTTTATAACTGAATTTTTATCATGACTGAGCGTGCTCCTCCAGTTTTTTATATTTCAATAGGTTTTAATGAATTGTAAATTAATTATTCAATAGTTTTATTAAATTTAAATTGGTCCAATTTTCAATAAATTTCGAATAGTTTTTTTAGTTTAAGAAAAGGATTTTTTCTGTACTTAAATATTTAAATAATCCATTATTTTAAATGTTTTAAAAAAATTTAACAAAATTGTCTACTTGATTCAAGAAGAAACGTCAAACAAATTTTTTATTTAAACAAAAAAACATTTTGTTAAATATTTACATTATTCTCTCCTATAAAACACCAAATTTTCCCGCAATGATGACAATTCCCTTAGGAAAAGGAAAAATAAAATAGTAAAAGAATAAACTACTAAAAGTTGTCCAAGCCTGTTGTTAGCCCACACATCAACTCCAAAATGTGATTGAATGGATAAATACTACTTAAAGATGTTAAGGATTTTTGGAGTTTTTTAAATAAAAAATAATGATGGAATGGGGAAATGATATTTGTTGAGAAACGGTAGGAGAAGGAAACGAAAAAAAAATAAAAATATGTATGTACTAATAGAATATATTTTTTACGATATTTTTAAAAAGTATAATCTAATATTTGGCTTATAAATAGATTAAAATTATTAATAGATATGACAGAAAATTTTGAAATAAAATCAAAAATTTTTATAGAGTATCTAAATTCTATTTATTATTTTTTATAATAAAACTTAAGAAAAATTAACAGGAATACAAAGTTGTTTCTTTGATTAAATACATAAAACACTCTGGCAAATATTATTTAAGAAAGTATTATCCCTTGCGCAACGAACTCAAAAATAAATCGGGTTGTTTAGAAGATTTTTAATCTAGAAGGTAGTGCTTCGCGCATTTATTTTCACGCCTTTTCCTCTTTTTCAAGAACAGATATTATGCAAATTCGGAAATAAATAAAATAAATTGGGTAATTGTAGCCAAAGAGAAATTCATATCCAAAAATGAATAAATTGCTCAATTGAAGGCAAATAAAGGAGGAATTGCTTAAATAAATTAAAAATAACCAAAATTGAAATTGAGAGGCTCCTCAATGAAAAAATAAATAAATATAAGGCAGTCGTGACCGCAGCCAAATTTATTAATTTCCGGGAAGGCTAACCGGCTGTACCCAATTTCTTAATAAAAAATAAGTGGAATATCTCTATTACATAAAAGTGAAATTATGAAAGAGAAAAAATAAATTTTTAAAATGAATTAATTTTGAGGTTTTCTATAAAAAGTTTTAAACTTTTTCGAGTTCCTTTTCGAGTTTAAAAAAGCATTTTTAATAGATAATGTTTGCCGAGAGTAAGCTAAGTAAGAGAAAAAGCGCAGTAAGTAGTACAAAAACTTTTCCACCAGAAAAAAGTATTCACCTGAAATCAAACGTAGCTGAGTAAGCTAAAACACAATACAAGACCAAGGGTTATGTAGTACTAATCCCAACCTCCACTGCGTTTATTTTCGAGAGCCTAATAATTTACTAAAATAATTTAGACGAGCGTTACTTCCTTAAATGGTTTTTTTACTGATATGCGCCGAGACTGCACAGAACGGTGTCGGCCTGGATGTATGGAAAGTGGATATGGAATATTTTCTAGAACATGTATCTAATTAATTTATTTTATTCAATTAATTTAGGTACTCGTTGTTGTCAATCTACATTTTGTAACAATTTTGATGGTCAAAAGTTTTTACTTAATGATTTGGATGTACAACAACTTGGAGGAATTTATGCAAACAAAACAATAAATGTTACAAAAACTAATGGAGAAATTGTTCCAAAATTGGAAAAAAATTTTATTTTACTAATTATATTTGGCACATACATATTTTTTTAAATAATTTTTAAAATAATTTTAAAAAATCGCTCATTTGTCGAGAAAGTTTGAAGAATATTCAAAAAGCTTTAAAAGTCTCACGATAATTTAGTCGTCCCTCAATGACCTGTCAAATTTTTATAAACTATACTGAGTATGTTAATAAAAATTTCTTTGATATAACAACAAATTAATTATAACAATAGTATTATTCTCTTTTTATAATTCGGCATTTATATTTAATACATCTAGCTGTTCCGCCATTAATGCGCTTTAATGAAGGAATTCCATCATTTCCAGGCATAAATTTATATTTATTTAATAAATTTCCTAAAAATAAGAACAATTCCATTCTTGCAAGTGATTCTCCCAAACATTGCCTAAATTTAAAGGTTTTAAATGAACATAAAAATCTTTTTAAAGAAAAAACCTTTTCCCAATAGAAAAAGGAATTAATTCATCAACTTTCTTTAATTTTCCATTTTCATCTAAAAAACGTTCCGGATTAAATTCTTCAGGTTTTTCAAAAATTTCCCCATCTGCCAAAATAGCTGAAATTTGTGGAATAATGATCGTATCTTTTGGAAAATAATATCCATCAATTTTAACATCTTTAGTCAATGTATGGGGTAAATTTAGAGGAAGTAAATTTGACATTCGCTGGACTTCCTGTGACAAATAAAAGTTTAATTAATGATCACTGTTAAATATGAGGAATTTGTTAAATATGAGAAATGTTAAATATGAGAAATTTAAACAATAAAGGAATTTGTAATGTTGCAAAATTTAATTTTAACAATGGTCCTTCCGAATTCCGATGTTCTTTTCCAGTTTCCGAAAATTCTTTAAAATTTCAATTTTTATGCTAATTTAAATTTCCGAATAGATATTCTTATTTACAACAGTCCCCATTTTTTCCTACTTCTATTCCTACTCTTCCTATTTCTTCCTATACTAAAAACTACATATTAAAATTAAAATTAACGTTAATTAAAGCATTTAAATATGGCAATGATGGCCTATCTGCCGTTGTAATAATTCTATCAAAATCTCCAATAATCGAGTCCAATTCTGCATGTACTTTGTTTTGAACATTTGGATAATTAATTAAAAAAGCGATTCCCCAATTTAATGTGGTGCTTGTTGTTTCCTGACCGGCAAACCAAAGATCGCCAACAACGGATACTAACTGCTCAATTCTATTTTTAAAAATTATTTTAAATTAGCAGGGCCTCTCTCTCAAAAATTACGTAAAATAATGAGGTGCTCCATTTGAATCTCTTTGCTGTTTTTCTAACAAAAAAGCTTCCACGAAATCTGTTGGCGGGGAAATAATTGAATTTAAATGTTCGTTAATTTGTTTTTCGTGAAAATCAAAGAATTGATTATTTATTTCTTTGAAATATTCAAAATATGAATTTAAAAAAGGTAAATGTCGTAGGGATGGCCATGATTGTATAAGAACTATAATTGGATGAAATTGTATATCTAGCGTGCTATCCATCAATTTTTTAAGTTGTCGAAATTCTCCCAGCCTCTCCTATAAATTAATTTTTATGTTAACAAAAATTCCAAAAACTTTACATTATCAAATCTATATCCAAAAAGAAAATTGTTAATAATAGAACCAACACTTATATCAATATTTTCACCAAAATCAACATCATTTTCTTGTTTTATTTCTTCTTCTATTCTCCCAAATAATAATTCTAATTCACTCAAAATCTAAATAAATAATTTATTATAGACGTTGGAGAGTTAGAATTTGCAGAAAATTTTTGGTGACTAAAGTTATCCAGAAAAATGAAAACTGTAAAATTGTCATTGGTACAAATTTAGCCTTATTGTTAGTCTTATAAATTCTATTCTTATAACGTTTTTGAAATTTATGCTAACTAATTCCTCAATTTTATATTTTAATATTAACTTTATCTTGCATTAAATTCTTTCCAAGTCCAAAATCTCTAAATATTTGCAAAGCAAAACGTCTCTGCCCTCGCCAAAGTTCTCCATCAGTCATTACTAAACCACAACCTGCTCCTAATAATAATTATTATTATATTACTTTCAGACGCAAGGTGTGTCTGCAGTTTTTTTAAAATATTTCTTTCTCAATTAAAAGTTTCAAATAATTACCTTTAACAAGTTTAATAAATTCCTCAGATTTAAAACGTCCAGAATACGTTTCTCCATCCTTTTGAAATGTTTCTATTATTTTATTATATTCAGCTACACAAACGGTTGGTTGTTCCCCTAACCAAATTGTAAATATATTTCCATATTTACGCCTCCAACGTAAAAAACATTGTTCTGGCATTTCTTTGTCAAAACTTAATAAATTGCCAATTAAAGGAAGGGGTGTTGGACCAGAAAAAAAATTTTTTTTGAAATTAATAAAAATTATTTAATTAGCTTACCAGGAGGTAAATTACGCCTTTTAAAGTAAAAATTGTAAAATAATATAAAACAAACAAAAAAATTAAGTAAAATAAAGAATAGTGAAATCATTTGTTGTTTTTACTTATTTTAAATTTATAAATGAATATTAATTTTTATTTAAAATATTTTAATTAAAAATTCTAAATATAATTTTAATAATATTTTACTCATACTACATATGCAGTATATTTACTTTATATAAATAATTCCTATCAACACAAAAAATAAATTTTCGATTTTGGGAATTTGAATTACCGAGCAGAGAACCGTCGGGAATACCCAATTTTCGAAAAACTTATAAGTAATATTTTTTTATTTAAAACACTTAAAAATTTAAAAGAGATGCAGTATCATTGCTCTATAAAATAAAATATTTTCTAAATTCTTTTTGTTAATAATTTATCTGTTTGTCTAATTGATTAACTTTTAATGAAAATTTTATAGTTTGTATTTTGTAAAATTTAATCAAAAAATTGTTATAAAATAAAGAAAAAATGTAAAGTCTTATGTTTTGTACTTATAAACATAAATTAAAAATAGATAAATAAAATTTAAAAACCTGTCTAAATAATTAAATTAAATTTTTATATAAAATGACATATCAACTGGATTATTTAATTGACTAATTTATTTTGGTGATTTTTTATCTAAACAAAAAATATAATTTAAATTGAATAAATATAATTTTATAAAACTATTAGTTGATAATTTTATAAAAATATTTAATGTAACTACTAAATATTGTAGAATTAAATATTATTTAGTATTGATGGTAAATTATTAAAACAAATTTTTTACCAAGAAATTAAATACAAAAATTTTTTAAATTATTTTCAATTTTTAAATTTCATTTAAATTCATGTAAATTTCAATTATTTTCGTTTCGAAATATATCTGACTTCAGAATAAAAATAGTAAATCAATGCGAAATGTATCTTGATTAGTTTTTAATTTTTTTTCAATTGGAAATATTAAGTCTAATTACAACAAACAATTACAACATTTTTTGTTTTTCGCATTTATTTGTTAGCGATTATAACTTTTAGGGGATATCAAACCTAAGAATCATGTGCCTTCGAATTATTTATTCAGATTGGATTCCAAATAACTTAACATCTAAACACAATTCCTACTATAAAAGCTATCTAAGCACTAAAGGCTTTCTTTTGATTTTCGTTTATGATTTTTGAATTTTTCAAAAATCATTCTGGCCCGATTCCTGCTTAGACATCTAAGCCCGTTTCTATTTAAGCCTGTGAATTTAAATTGTCGAGTTTTTTAATTATAAGTAAAATGGAGGTTTAGCAACATTTTTATTTTTATACATTATGGTTCCTCAAATGTCGGTTCACCAAAGAGAATAAGGTATTTTGGAAGATGGATGGCCAAATCGTATATTAATAAAAAGAATTAATCTTTATAAACTCAACACATAAATAATTTAAAAATTTTATGCGACTACAAATTTGCATAAAATAACTACAGATTGTGAATATATGTGTATGTATATAATGTATAAAACCATGTATGGACAATTATCAAGGCTCATTTTAAAAAACGAAAGGCGAAACTGGCACATCCCTAAAAGTATGTATGTATAATTTCGCGGAAGTCAGGAGTTTATCTAAAATATTTTGTCCAAACATGAATATATGTATATTTAAAAATGTTATGAATGAATAGTGCCGTGTTTTTTCGATCTTGAATAAATTTAAAAAATGTATTTGAATGTATCAAAATTGTTCTATTTTACTCGGCACTTTTCTGTGAACATAACAAAAATTTTTATGTTATAATTGAATTGAATAACCTCAAATTTACATTTTAATAACTAAAATATATTTGAATGTTTTTTTTGTTTTAGAATTCAATTTAATTATATCTTACAAATTTTTACGAATATAATTTTAAAAAACGAGTGTTTCATGGATAATATATTGTAGATAGTTCAAAACCGCATTAAAAGGACAACCAATTTTGTTGAATATTTACAACTCGGCTATGGATTTGCGATTTATTTTGACGGAGAGGGTATATAAAATCATCTTTGTTTAAATTTTCGTTTTGGATTTTTATAATGTTCGGTACAGATTTGGCAAAAATAATTGCAAAATTTTTGGTTTCAACCCCGGTTTTGAACTATTAAAATAAATAAAGGTGAACATTTAAATAATTTTAAAAATAATTTTAGTAACGACAACCTTTACCAATAAATGAGGAATTTAAAATAATACCAAATAAATAAATTTGAAAAGGGATGCTTACGGTTAATGATATTTCAACATCCAATTAAACGGATGAATTTTTTCTTACATTCTCTTAAATTTTACTTAAAAAAATTTTTCCAACTACCACTAATATGTACATTCTTTTTTATACACTTTTTTCTCTTCTCAATATCCAAATTCTTCAATTTCTCCTTCAAATTTACTATCTTCTCCAGATCCTTCAAATGTTGCTTCCTCAAAAGAATCTTTTTCTTTTTCTTCTTTTTTGTTTTCATAACCATTAGTAACAACATTCATTTCTTCAAAATGTTCCAAACGTAAATGTTCTGTATCAATAGAACAAAAAGAATGCCAAAATTGTAATTCATGTTCCAAAAATAATTCACATTTATTTTTGAAATTTACTTCCTCCACATTCATACACACATTTTTTAATTTTTCTTTAATTTGTTTTTGTTTATTCTCGTAATGTCTAAAAATAATAAAAGCTTAATTTAATAAATAGAAAATATTTAGTATTAAAAATAAATAAATGTATAAAGGAATCCACTAAAACAAGGGTAACTTGTAATTGAGGAAACGTTTAGAAGTAGAGACCGGATTGAAAAAATCTCGTTAATCGAGATAGATTTTTCGAGATATCTTCGATGTACCCTTCTAAAAGCATTCCACTGTTTTAAATAATTTACCCAATATCAATGCGTTTCTGCCCCAAAACTTCTTTCAATTCCCATCCATATTCCTGTCCAACCCCATCACCCAAGAATTGAGAAGATTTCACAGTTCCATCTTTATTGAATGAATTTTTAATTCTTTTAGTTAAACAATATCCAACAAATAGATCACCAGAATTTTCAAATTTCTTTTTAATTTCTTCACTTCCAGGCAATATTTGCTTGTAAAAAATATTTTTTTCTTCTTTTTCAACAATTTCTTTCGTTTTTATTTCTTTGCTGGAAAACAATTTTTCCCAATTTTTCACCAAAAAATCAAATTTATTTTTCAATCGTTCATCAAATTCTTTAACATTTTCTTCATCTTCAATTAATTTCTCCATTCCTTTAATAATCTCGTCTTGTCGTTTAATTTCTTTTTCATCAAAAATTACTTTTCTAGGCCCTTTCCAAAATTGTAAAATACGTGAAGCCCTAAACTTTGCATTTTCCTCAATTTCCTTTAATTCATTAAAATAAGCAATCATTGGATTTGTATTATCAATTAAATTAGTTGCTTTATTTAAATTTTCAAACAATTTATTTAAATTTTTATGTTGCTCAGTTAAAAGTGATTTAACTAATTTTAATAATTTAAATATTTCCTCAATTTGTTTAGACTCTTCTGAATTTTTATTTAATTTTAATTCCTTTTCTGAATATTCAATTACAAATTTACATTTCTCTTTTACTTCATTCAAATCAGGATTGGGTTTTCCAATTATTTTTTCAAGTAAAATAAAATCTGAACATTTTTGACATTCTGTCTTTAATTTAATTTTCCATTCAAATTGTTGGAAGTATTCAGAATTAATATATCTCAAGTCTTTTGTTAATCTTTTAATTTTATCCATTTCCTTCTCTTCTTTTTGTTTTTTAAATATTTCCTTGATCTGAAATTTATTTTTATTATATTTAATGTTTTTCATAAAATTATAACTGTTCTTAATATTAGTGAAAATATTATGAATTTGGCTCGTACTAAAATTATTACTAGTGCTTAGTAAGTACGAGCAATTGCGAGAATGAATCGAAAAAGCGACGAGTACGAGCAAAATCGAAATTTCCAGGCATTACTCCCTAGTATAAATATTTCCCATATTTGAATTAAAACCTTACTTTGTTTAATTCAAATTTAACAATTTCAGAATAATTGTTTGGTCGGCTTTCTTGTTGATTTATATTTATTTCCATTCCAGATTGAATTTCATTTGGATATTGTAATCCTGTTTCCGTTAAAATTTTACTTTTAATTTCCGATTCAAGTAATTTATTTGCTTCAGTGAATGTGACTTTGTGAAGTTTGGAATTGTGTACTTAATTATATTAAAAATGAATTTATTTACTCAAAAACTTATTTATTTAAAGATTTTACTTACAAATTTCCTCAAAAATTTCTTCTTTTCGTTTGCTAGTAATTTTATCAATCCCAATCACTTCTAAATATGCCAACCGAAAACCGTCTTTTTGCATTCCAATTTCATCATCTTTTTTAATTAAAAATATTTTTATTTTAAATTATAAATGCATTACTACTTACAATAATTAACTGCCCACTCCTCAGGTCTCTCAAATTCCAAAATTTTCTTATCAATATAACAATAATTGTTTAAATTATTTTTAAAATTCTTTTCAAAATCCTCCTCTTTATTTTTCAAGTTCAAATTATTTAAATAAATTTTGAGAACATGTTCATAATACCTTTTGAAATTTTAATAAATTTTATATATGATAATTAAAACAAAATACTAAAAATCTAAGAATCCCCTAGAAATTACTTTTTTTAAAAGATTTTTGGTTAAATATTTTAATAGTAATAATAAAAATTCTAAATTTTTTATAAAGTATGTATGAGAGGAGGAATCGTTCCTGCGGAATTTCATTTCCCGGTGGGAAGGGAGGCTTCTTCCTGTTCCTCTAACACGAATTCCCCTCAACCCCCATTCCCCGTAAAATAGATTTCCGCCCCGTAATATCGAATCCCATCATAAGGTTTTAATTTCTAAAAACATAGTACATTTTATCAACCCTTTTCTTTCCCAATTTTTCATTCATTTCCATTCCATATTCTATCAAATTTGTATTTGAAATATTTTGTAATAAAATATCCATATTAACAACTCCATCTTCATTAAACATTTCCAAAAATTTATTTGTTAAACAATAAAGAATTGCTGATAAACTTGAAATATTTATTGCTCCGTTGCTGCCACTTTCCTTTATTTGGAAATATTTAAATTAATTATTCAAATTTAAAAAATATTTTGAAAATTTAAGAATAAATTTTTCTAAATTTTTGTTTTTGCTTTAAACAAAAATATTCAAGAATTTTAATTAACTAACCAATTCAATTTCCTTTCTTCGTTGGCTACTTTCACCAATTTCTTTCTCTTTTCCTTTATCCAATCCTTCATTATCTTTTACTATTTTCTCATAATTATCAATTAAAAATAACAATTTATTTAACAATCTTTCATTATATTTTTCAATTTCTTTTTCAATTTTATCTTCAATTTCCAAATTAATTTCATTTTCTTTTTTGTTTTTCTTTAAAATATCAATTAATTTGTTTTCCTTTTTCAATTTTTTAATTTTTTCTTTTAATTTCTTTTCATATTCATTTATTTTTTTGATTAAAATTTCCGAATCTTTTTTTGAATTCCAAATTCCTTTAATTTTTTCTATATTTTCACATTTATTTTCAAAATTTAAAAAGAATTTTTCATTAATTTTTAAATTATTTTGAATATTTTCTGGAATTTCTTCCTCCTTCTTCTCTCCTTTTTCCTCGTCTAATAAATCATTTTCTCGATTATTTTTTTGTAAAACAAAAAATTTCAATACATAAACGGACACTAAACATTCATTTAATTTTTCTTTTAATTCAATTGAAGTTTCAATTCGAGACAATTCTTTTTTGACAATTAATTTTTGCTGATCGTTTTTAATTTGTTTTGACTTTAATAGTAAAAATAATTTTTAAATCTTTTTTAAAATAATATTTCAAAGATTTATTTTTAAACTATAATCAGAATTTACGTAATCGGTTTCTTTAAGTCTTGGGAAAGTTCCTGTTTTCTGAAAAGAAAAACTCCTTTTCAAACTACCAACCTTTTCAATTTCCAATTTTGCTTTCCAATAAATTGTTTTCACATTTTTTAAATGCTTTTCTAATTCTTCTTTTTTTATTGTTGTTTTATTCTTCTTTAATATTTCATGTAAAGAAGAAATAATTAAATGTGCTTCGGTAAATGTTAATTTATTTAAATTGAATAGATCCACTTAAAATTTAAATATAATATTTAAAATAATTATATTTTTTTCTTACATGCTCCTTTTTTTAAATCAAACCATTCTCCACTTCCCAAATTCAAATGCTCTAAATCACTTTCTTCAACACCAATGAATTTCATATCGGCGAGGTGGAAATCGCCATCAAGAATTGTTTTGGCTTTGTGAGGGGAAAATAAATTTATATTAAAGTATTTTTGGTTATTGTACTCATTTTTAGCATGAAAGGGCAGTTTAAACTCTCAAAGTTTGAGCAGTACTTCATGTTCAAAAAGTATGATTTCGCCCTATTTTTATGGATTTTCTCGGTTTCTTTTTAATAATCCCACTTATAATAATCCCACTTATAACAAATTTTCATTCAAAGATTATCCTAACTTTACGTAATCTCCTACCATATTATTAATTAATTAATTTTATATTTTTATAAAGGTAATTTTATTAAATTAATTACAAATTTGTAAATTCCACTCTTCTGGGTGTTCAAATTTTACATTATCTCTGTCAATCTCACAAATATTAGATACAATTTCTTCCAAATCTTCTTCTTGAATTTCACATTTGCTTAGAATTTTTTCTTTGAAATTATTTGCTTGTTTTTTATAAAATCTTAAAATGAATAAAAATTAAATTTATAATTTTTAAAATATATTTATTTAATTTCTCGCATCTCTGTATTTAGATTAAATATTCTTATTTGGAATTATTTATTTTCACAAAAAATCCCAAAAAGCGGATCCAATACATTAAAATTTTATTTTGTACAACTTAAACTTACTCCAAATCTACTCTTTTGTTTCCCAAAATTTGATTAATTTCACTTGCATAGTTAAATAAATGGGAATTTGTTTCCTCATAAAATTTAGTTTTTGCCTGTCCCTCATTGTTAAAAATAAATTGGAAACGTTTTGCCAAACAATAGCCAATAAATAAATGGCCATCTTCCGCCAATTTTGTTAATTTTTTATTTGATTTCACAAATTCTTTCCAGTTTTTATCAAGAAATTCGAATTTTGAAATAAAGCGATCACGATAGGCTTCGTCTTCTTCTTTCACCTAAATTATAATTTTATTATTAATAAAAAAAATAATTAAATATTTAAGCGTATAAACATCAGAGGTGTGTCGGAACAGTCAGAGGTGTCGGAAATCGGAAGAGCCGGAAATCGGAACTGGCTCAAAAGTCGGAACTCGGAAATAAAAATTTTTTTTGGAAATCGGAAGGAAGAAAACGCCGGAAATCGGAATTCCGACCCATCTCTGATAAACATACTTCTTTTTTCAATTCTTCCAACATTCTCTCCATTTTATCTAATTTTTTAAACTTTTTTAACTTTTTCAAATCCTTCAAAAGTATATTTTCATTATCCAATTCATTTTTAATTTTTTTCAAATATTTTATAAATTTCCTTGTTCGTTTAGCCATTCTCTTCAAATATTTTTTCAAGTTTAATCTTTTATTAAATAAATCTAAAGTCCTTTCTTTAAATTTTCTTTTAAATTCTTCATCTTCTGTTAAACGCTTATTTATTTCTTTTTTCAATTTTTCTTCAAAATGTTTTTCTACTTTTCCTTTTTGTTTTGTTATTTTTTCATTTAAGGATTTTATAATCTCCTCTTTATTTTCTTTTTTAAAAAAATTTAAACGATGGAGGGTAGATTGAAGAATATTTTTTGTTGATTCTCCAAATTTACATTGAGTTTTGAAATCATTAATTACTTTAGTCAAAAAATCTGGGGCACTTCTTTCAATATCCAAATTCACTGAAAATTAAAAATATTTTTAAAAAACATTGATAAAAAACGATTTTTTTGATCTTTAAAATTAATTCGAATATTTATGAATTTAGCTTAGAAAATACTTAGAAAAGATTTTATCAGAAAATAAACACAACAACTCCTTTAAACAAACCATCTCCTTGTTTTGATTGTTCTAATCTTTTTTGTAATTTTAATAAAAAATTTTTTCGTAATTTATATTTCATATCTATTTTTTCCAAATTTTGTTTTTTATTTCTGAAAATAGTGTCGGTTTTTCTTCTAATAAAATTTTTCTTTCTTTTTGTGTTTTCTTCTTTTTTTAAATGATTATCAATCGAAGTTTCAATTCTTCCATCAATTTTCGTAATTTTTCTTTCATCAACTTCATCTTCATTATCAATCTCCAAAGCAGTAAAATGTAAAATTTTTGCGTATAAACTGCATTCAATTAATTTACTTCTGTATTTTATATTTGTTTCAAAATTTGTTAAAGCTTTTTCGAGTTTAGGTAAATTTAAATCCTCTTTAGAGTTTCCAATCTAAAAATAGGTAATTTTTAAGATAATTCTTTCAAAATAACAACAAACTTTATTTAAAATTTCAAGAACGCCAAAGTTGATTTTTTTATTATTTTTCACATTTCTTTCGAAATAATCAAAATATTTTTCATCCGTTTGTATTCCTTCAACTTTTATTTCTTTCAATTTTCTTTTAGTTGAATGATCATTTTCCCAATCGTTTAGTATAATAATAAAATGATGACTTTCAGTCAATGTCATTTTATGTTTTTCATGAAAAGGTG